TATCTCTGAGTCTCTTGCACCATCCATTGATCTCTGGTTGATATTTGCGGATCCAATGATAATGTACTCATCATCAACTGCAAAATGAGAGGTAAAATCATCTCATTTATATCTGAAAAAATTAGAGAAATATTCTTGAATAGCACTAAAATGTTTTTTTCCCAGATAAACAAATAACATATATATGGGTTTGGTTTTAGTGATTAGGATTTAGGGTTTAATATTTAAGGGGTGGCACTAGAGTAAAGATTTAGGGGTTGGAGTAATGTAGCCATTTTAGCTCTTGTTTAAGTATATATTGAGTTTTCTTTATGCCATTTTTGTCATAATTCTTTGTACTATCTAAGGGATTTACCAAAAAAAAAAAAATAAAAAAGAGAAGTTACAAGTTTTGTAAGAGTTATAACACTAACCGATCATCATCTTAGTATGAACATAGATCATGAAGCGCCGTGCTTCTTGTGCTCGCATATAGTCTGTATCTGGTTCAGGTTTCTCTGTAGGCACATACTCTCCATCTTTCTTGACCTCTCGGTTACCGAGACAGAAGAATGTTAGGTAATCTCTTGGATCCTCTCCCTCAAGTCCCTTCTCTCTAAGTGCCTTGATCACATCTTTGTACATCATCTCCATTGTCCTTCTCTGCCAATCTAATATAGCTTGAACTGAACCACTCTCAGGAAGCCCTTCAGGCCACATTGGAACAACAGCATAAACCTTAAACTTCTCTCCAGCTTTGATCTTACTAACAATCTTCAGTGATAGCTCCTTAGGAATCAAATGTAGAGCATTGATCTCCTCTGGTTTGATTCCATCTGCACTCCAAGCAAAGGAGCTTCCTAGAAAATACTGATTTTCAATATAGATGAAGTCTTTAGCTCGTCTTATGGCGTGAATGTAAGCATCTTGAATACTCCTATCAATTATATTATCTTTACCACTCACAAGACCTGCTTCTGCTGCAGCTTCAGGGGATTCAGGAAACGCAGCAGCTGCTCCACCATCTATTGATCTAAAGAGCTGAACGTTCCACGAGTCATGATCTTCTGAGAACAGAACAGGAGAAGGAGGGATGATGATATCGTCGAGGTCTCTTATTTTAACAAGAATGTCTTTACCACCTTGTCTACTCCATCTCTGCTCAAAGTTATACAAGACATCCCAAGCAATAGGTCCTTCAAGACGACAGTGAATGTCATGCCACGGCTCTCTAGGACCACCTTTGGTTATCGCTGCGCCAGTGAAGTTAGGTTGATGGAAGTCATCGTGATGCACAGTGTCCAATGTCCTGAACAATGAGTGAAACGGTGTGTCGTACCTTCCATCACAAAGATCAAGACCACCAACAAAGCTGACAATCCTTCTTGATTTTGTTTTTGTTGTTCCAGGCATTTCACTGTCCACAACAACAATCTTTTGGTGATGAGTGAACATAGTTGAGACTTGCAAGTTTTGAACAATGCTTCCACCATCATCAGGGTTACGAGGACACAGAACACAGTTCACATCGGTTCCTCTGAAGAAGTTAGCAGTTTCCTCATCATGAGTTGCCATAAGTCCATCTTGTCTCAGCAGATCAACAGATGTTCTATCATCCCAAACAAGCAAGATAACTTTAACACCTTCACTAGCCTTCTTCTTGAGTATCTCACCAATAGTCACATCTCCTCCTTCTTTAGGCCTCCTTGAGTCCCTCACCAAAGATATCTCAGTGTAAACAGACCAACCAGTAATGTAAATCAAATGCTTTGCATTAGTAATGGCATCAAAGATATCCTCCCAACACCGGCTTGCCTCATAGTGTTTCCCTCCAGCTAAAGGAATCTTGGGGACAAAGTTTCCAGGAATATGAGCATCTTGATACAAAGAAACTTTGCATCCTCTTCTCTGAGAGAAGAAGGTGTACGGAACTCCAGGAAACTTAGCACTTTTGATACCACGGTTCCAGTTTTTGTCTTTTTCAACACCAAAGTACTGAAGCTTCACATGGATCTTTGATCCTCCTTCAATGGGTTTCTTCTCAGTATCAAGAATCTCAACCCATCTATCAACTTCCTCTCCATGCAATATATCCTCAACAGGAACATAACCTCTTCCTATCAACGTTGCACCGATGGGATTATCATCTTTGACAGTGAAGATAACATGTTTGGCCATGTGACCACAGTAGATATGAAATGACTCATGCCATTTTGGACTTTTTGGTTCGTTTGTTATCTTCCTGGTTCTTCCAACTCTAGCTTTCTCTAGATCGATTGTAGCGTATAGCTGAGTTTCTCCTTTGCCTACACCGATCTTTTCTTCTACATTTGCTAGCATCTGAAAAGATAAAATTACAAAAATCAAAGCAATATTTTGTGAATAAATTTTTTTTTTTAACATAATGTTTATGGAGATTCTGCATCACGGATTTGGTAATTTAAATCATTCGGGTTCTTTTCTTGTTGACCAAAAAAAAAAAGATATAAGCTGAAACAGTACCTTTCCTAAGAAACCTGATCTTCCTCCTTGAGTAGCATGGAGAGCATCAATTTCATAGATTGTAGCGTGTAACCGTCCATGTAACAAGAACTCTTCCATTGTTTTTCGCCTATAACATCATTAACAATCCTTACACATCAGTAAAAGATATATTTGCTCCTCATACATTAGAAATTAAAACAAATATTGGATATTAGAAAAAAAGCTTAGAGTCAATGCATCAACTGTCTTAAATTAAACTGATTGATACTCAAACTCTGAAGAAACAGAGGATCTTGATCAACACAAACCTGGATCACAGAGACATTCAAGAGAGTAAAAAGATCTCGATGTTACACAAAGATCCATAAGGGTTCAAGAAGAGGTGTTACCTTTCAAAAATTTCAGAGACTCAGAGAGAGAGAGAGAGAGAGAGAGAGAGAGTGAGATAAGATGAAGCTGGTTTGTTAAGCATTCAAGTTTTTGATCCGAGAAGAAAGCTCTTTGAATGAGAGCTAGTTTGTGTGTGGAGCTGCTGAATATATTGTGTGATATTAATAGAAGATGAAGCAAAGACAAATTTACAAATAAATAAAAATTACTTATTAAAACATATTAAGAACACATGTAACGGTATGTTACGACGATTCAGCTCCAAAAACTACGCGCAGTGAGTTTAAACACATGGTCCAAATCACAGGGATTGCCGATAAACGATGACACTGAAGTGCTTTTCTAATCTTTAATTATTTTAAATTTAATCGTTAAAAAAGTACCACAAATTGTCTTTTCTGTGTGTTACACATGAATTATTGCAGAGGTTTATATAACATATGATACTAGGCCGGTCCGGGCTGCGGCCGGGTTTTTCATTGAAATTTTAATTATATATATTATATGTTATTTTGATATATAAATATTAAAATCTATAATTATATAATTAGTTTTAATTATTTATTGTTTTTTGTCTTTCGAATTTCAAAAATTTTAATATCCAAAATTTGTTTATCATAGATTATCAGTATGTGTCTTGCGTATAATTGTTGTGTATTGTGGCTCGTCTCGATTTTTGTTTATTTATTTGTTGTGTGTTAGTATTTATTTTATTTTTTATAAAATATAGTTTGGTTATTTATTACTCATTGTTTACTGTTTGAATTCTTTTTTTTTTGATTATTATTCTAAATTTGATCTTATTTACCTAAAATGGAACGGAAATTTAGTGTGTGAATCTTTTTCTCCTTAGGTTTGATGAAACGTAAAGGAAAACAATAAGATAATAGAATTTTCGTCTTTCCAAACTTATAGACTTCTTTATTTATTTTGAATATGTTTAAGTATATTGTAACTTTTAATTAACTATTAAACCTTTACTAAACTTTTCATTAAACATTGGAAAAAAACTTTTCATTAAACTCAAGTTATATTACATAGCGTAATCAAATTTTAATTAGTCTATTTTTATATCTTATTAGTTTTTGGTTTTTAAATTATTTTCAATGTGTATTAATTGTTAATTAATTTTATATCATTTTGTATTCTAGGTTAATCTTAAATTTGGTAGTAAAAAGGGAATCAAAAATCTGTGAGAGTATTTTTATTTTCGTTGATATAAACCTAATGAAATGTATGAAGATTAATAGCGTAAATTGATTTATCCTCTTTCTCATGAATTTTATCTCTTATAATTATAAATTTATTTGCTTAATTATATTATATATTTTCTCTAAATGATTATTTTTATTATAATTATAATAATTTAATTTATTATAATGATAAACTTATTGTGATACACACACATAAAAATATATATATTCAAATTTAGTGAGTATCTGATTTTTCTTAATTTATTGAAAATAATAATAACATTCAATTTCACTATTTATACTTTGTTATTTTATTAATAATATTAAATTTCACTTTTTATATTTTTTATTTTATTATATAAGTAATTTCTAACATTTGTCAATGTTGATAAAATAAAATATCTAAGAATATAAATTATGGATCATTTTCAGCCTTATACATTTTTTGAATTCATGGATACTATGATTTTTTTAATATAACTTTTTATCTCAAAATAAGAATTCATACTTTTTAAAAGGAATTGATAAATTCATTCACATAAAGTAAACATTTGTTAATATTAAACATTATTTTTTATGTAAGAATAATTGCATGTCATATGTTACTTTCTCTTCATTCTATTTAGTGACATGACATCACCATAAAGAAATAAACTATTGCTTTATATATAGATACTAAGAAATTATATTTCCATTTTAGTTTATATATATTTGATGTTGATTATTTCTATGTTAATTATTCTTCTTCTTTTTGTTTTGCCAAGGATTAATTATTCTTCTCCAAGCTGGTTTTGCTTGGAATCCGTTTGGTTTAGACCAAACCAATTTACCGAACATAACTGCCTGATGTAATAAAAAGTCAAAACATTACTTGGGCCCACAAGTTTGTCCGAATCTCTCTCGCAGCTTCACATTCTCCCCGGATTTTCCGGAACCCCATTCTCATCCTCAAACCTCAACCACAAGACCAACGAGAAAACGCGCGTTATACTCTTTTCCAGAAATGGGGAAGAGACCGCCGAACCCATCAGACATCGAAAACGGACTACCACCATTACCACCACCAGCTCGACCTCCGTTTCGCCCTCCCATTCCCGTGCCATGGTACGCGTGGCTCGTGCCTCTCATCTTCGCAGCCAACTTCATCACATTCGCTACCACAATGTATGTGAACGATTGTCCCGCGAGATCAGATGAGTGTATTTTGTTTGATGTCCTTGGAAGGCTTTCGTTTCAGCCGATGAAGGAGAATATGCTCCTGGGTCCTTCTATTCCCACGTAAGGAAAGTTTGGACGAGAATCTGTTCGGGTTATATATACATAATGAAAGCATCTTTGTTGTTGATTTTAGGTTGAGAAGACTTGGAGCTCTCGAGAGGAGACTTGTGGAGGAAGGTGAGAGATGGCGTCTCATCTCTTGCATATGGCTTCACGGTGGGCTCCTTCATCTGCTGGCTAACATGATCAGCCTCCTCTGTATAGGCATGCGCCTTGAACAAGAATTTGGATTCTGTAAGAATCCTTAAAACCCCTCTATATTTTTTGGTGGTCAAGAACCTGAATTTGCTTTTATCTACAGTGAGAATAGGAGCCTTGTATGTTCTCTCTGGTCTTGGTGGAAGCCTTATGTCTTGCTTGACAGATTCAAGAGGAGAAAGGGTATCAGTAGGAGCATCTGGCGCCTTGTTCGGGTTACTAGGTGCAATGCTCTCAGAGCTGATCACAAACTGGACAATCTATGAAAATAAGGTGAAAGTTTATCTATCATCTTCACGCTTAATGGTCATAGCCGGTCATGAACATAGTCAAGTGAAACATTATCATTTAGTCCGCAATTTTTTTAACATATATATATATATATATATATATATATATATATATATATATATAAACATAGGTCCCTAAATAGTTTGAATTTAGTTTTTATTAATGTTCTTACTAAATTGTTAAAAATTTCGTCCCAGTATACAAGAATCGTCCCTGTTTATGGTACATTACTGAAAGCTGATCTTTATGACTTTTGCAGTGTACCGCACTTATGACATTGATCCTGATCATCGCACTGAACCTAAGCGTCGGATTCTTACCACGTGTAGACAACTCTGCTCATTGTGGAGGGTTCCTAGCAGGTTTCTTACTAGGGTTTGTCCTTCTTCTCCGTCCGCAATACGGATACGTGAACCCCAAGTACATACCTCCTGGCTATGACATGAAACACAAGAAATCAAAACACAAGTGTTATCAACACATCTTCATGTTTACATCTCTAGTCATCCTTCTTGCGGGGTAAGTTCACCATAAGACTCAATGAACATCGTCCAATAAATATGTAAATGATTCACCTTTGCGTTTGAAATCTCTGCAGATTCATAGCGGGATATGCCAAGCTTCTCAGAGAACATACCGCAGGGAACGTGCCATTCAGGGATGTCAATTAGCATCTTGTAGCCAGCAGCATCACTGACACATCGTCTGTAAAAGATCATTTCACAAGATCCCAAAATTTTCCCACATTTGATACAAATATCATCATCGCAAAGTGATACATTTGACGAATCAAAAAGTATTACGTATGTATCATACATTTCCAAAGGCTGTTGTAACTATACAATTTGTATAAGAAAAGCGTATATTAACTGTAGGAAACTTTTTTATACTAGTTTCTGTTGTAGCAAACCAAGATAACAATCAATGATGTATTTATTCTTAGATCTCACATGAATCAGGCCGACCAAACATCGTGCATACTGCATACCGGTTGTTTGCAACATATTCATACAGAAAATCCCTTCACACATCTGCAAAATAGTTTTTTTTTTTTTTTTTTTTTTGACATCAAACGGCTGATCTATTACTCAAATGACTTGAGGTGGTATGGGTAACCAGACCGGAACAGAACAACCAATGTACACAAGCTTACGATAAAAGGACCTAGCTAACCTAGCTAAAGAATCAGACGCGTCATTCTGATGTCTAGGGACATAAGTGATCTTGAAGTCTGGAAAGCAGATCTTCAACGTCATTAACTTCTCCAACTCCGTCGAGAAGCTAGGCCATGCTTGAGGATTCCTAAGCATTTCGATCATCTCCTTACAATCAGTTCCAAAGCTCTGACATGGCGAATGTTGAAGCATGTTCTCCATTGCCCACCGCAGCGCTTCCAACTCTGGATGCAATGCCGATTCCACGCGATCGAAATTACGCAACCCCAGTAACTGCCTTTTCCCAGAATTATCGTTCAGGACCCACCCACACCCACTAAAGGAATCTGTTGTAGTCCATGAGCCATCCACCATACAAATATTTCCCAAGCTTAAGGCCTGGTCTTCTCCTATGCCATCCCCAAGAGGTGACATTACTTCCTGTTCATTAGCTTGAAACCATACTTGGCATTCACTCTCTGCATATCGCGCCACTTCCATTGGGTCCCTATCAATACCTCGGAATAACTTGTCATTCCTAGCCTTCCAAATGTACCCGATTAGCCAAGGATAAGGATCCCTATCCAATTCCGGTTCCATTATTGCATTCTTCCTCCAAAATAGATAATCCATATTCGCGTACGTGCTTTGAACTGGAAATATAGCTGGATTGGTCGGCGTAGATGATAGTGCCCAGACTTGTAAAGCCGGTGGACATTCGAATATTGCATGTGCGATTGTCTCCTCTGGTTCCCCACATCTAGGACAGTAGTTGTCACATCTCATATGTCTATGATTTAAGATACTTGTGACAGCTACATGTCCTGTGATCACCTGCCACATAAGATGGCGAATCTTTTGGGGAGCCCTAATCTTCCACGCATGTGCTTGGAGCTTTGTGATACTAGGCTCACATACTACCGTATCATCTTTCTTCCTCAAGATATTTTGTGCCACCCACTATCCAGATTTAACGGTATACTGCCCATTCCTTGTATAGCTCCAGCAATATGTATCCCGTCGGTGTGTGGAGCTAACAGCCATGCTCTTGATTAGTGGAATGTCATCAGCATTAATGTAATCCTGCAGTCGTTTTTCATCCCACATCCTCGTTGTTTGGTTAATCAAGTCGCTCACTCGCATATTTGGGTGCAGAACCGGTGCCAAAGGGGTTGCCGGCCTCGCAGGAATAGTAGGGATCCAAGGATCCTCCCAAACTTTAATCTCATACCCCGCATGAACTTTTTGTCTAAGTCCTAATAGTAGCAGTTCTCTGCCGGCCGATATGCTTGTCCACACATATGAGGGGCTACTAGTATTGATCGGACGCAAAGGCGTACTCAATCTATAATACCGACCTCTCAGGACGCGAGCAACTAAAGAGTCCGGGTTTTGCACCAGTCGCCATAATTGTTTCGCCAATAGCGCTAGGTTAAACTCATGGATCATCCTAAAGCCAATACCTCCTTCATCTCTTGATAAGCATAATTTGTCCCATGTTGACCAGTGAATCCCCCTTTTCGGCGGATTTGAGCTCCACCAAAATTGTGCAATGGCCCTTGCTAGATTTTCGCAGATCTCTAACGGAAGCAGGAAACAAGACATTACATACGTCGGGAGAGCAAGCAAAATTGATTTTATCATAACTTCTTTTCCACCTTTAGAAAGCCATCTCCCAGTCCATCCATTCACTCGATTTCTCAGCTTGTCCTTAAGAAAGGCAAAGAGCTTACATTTGGATCCACTTATATCCTCTGGTATACCCAGATATGACCCCATTCCTCCTTCATTTTGGATCCCAAGTGTGTCTTTGATCTCTTGTCTCACATCCTGTCCGATTCTTTTACCAAAGAGTAAAAAAGACTTCTCAAAATTAATGCATTGTCCTGAAGCTTGTCCATACATCGTGACCACTTTCATTACTTCTTCACATTCACGGGGCTCCGCCTTACAGAAAAACAGTCTATCATCAGCAAAGAGAAGGTGGGATACCGAAGGACACGCACGGGTAATGTGCATCCCCGTTATCTTTTCTTGATTCTCTGCGTGATTTAGAAGGCTAACGAGCGCTTCTGTGCACAGAATAAAAATGAAAGGGGACAGAGGATCTCCTTGCCGCAGACCTCTCTCCAGAACAATATTCCCTCTTGGCTGTCCATTCATGAGGACCTTATATTTTACTGAGGTTACACATCTCATTATCATTGTAATCCAAACTTCAGAAAAGCCCATCTTCCTCATGGTTGCCTCGATGAAGGACCATTCCATTCTATCATAGGCCTTGCTCATATCTGTTTTGATAGCCATCCTCTTGTTTTGGCCGCTCGGTTTTGTTCTTAGAGCATGAAACAACTCCTGGGCTATCATAATATTATCAGATATCTGTCGCCCAGCAACAAAGGCTGACTGGGTCTCTGAAATCCTATCTGGAAGAAATTTCTTTAATCTCTGGCATAAGACCTTAGAGATAATCTTGTAGCTAACATTGCATAGGCTAATTGGGCGTAGCTGACTCATTTGATTCGGCTTCTCCACTTTTGGAATGAGACATATATTGGTGTCATTTAAGCCTGATGGCACCGTTCCCTCGAAAAGAAATTGATTAACCATAAGGGTTAAATCATCCTTTACAATATCCCAGAATTTCTGGTATAACAATGCCGTCATTCCATCCGGTCCTGGAGCTTTCTCTGGGTGCATCGCAAAAAGAGCTAGTTTAACCTCCCACTCCGTGACTGGTGCTGTTAAGGAGGCATTATCTGTTGACGTAATCGTGGTAGATACTTGAGAAAGTGCTTCCTCTATTGCCTCAGGGTTGGATGATTGAAAGATATGTCTAAAATAATTTGTAGCAATGGCTACTAACCCTTCCTCATCCTCCACAACATTTCCATCTTCATCCAGTAGTTGGGTAATCCTATTCCTTGCCCTCCGTTGCTTCATAAGGGCATGGAAAAATTTAGTATTCCTATCCCCCTCTCTCAACCAGAAGACTCGGCACTTTTGTTTCCAGAACATCTCCTCTGCCTTAAGAGCATCAGATAGTTCCTTAATAGCTGCCGCAATCTCCTCAGTAGTGGCATCATCATTAGAGGATAACCGATCAACCTTTTCCTTTAGCTCCTCCACTGTTTTCTCTGAGTTAAGATTATGCTGCCTTTTCCATTCACTTAAAGCTCGCCGACAGCTTGCAATGTGCTCCATTATGCTTGCGTCTGGTGGAAGATCCGGAGACTTCCATCCTTCAAGTATAATTTGCCGCAGTTCCTCATTTTCTAACCATCTCTTGTCAAATTTGAAGTTCCTTGCTCTCCTAGGTTTCTTTTTTAGAATATCAGCCAGGATCGGACGATGGTCCGACCCCCAGAGTCTCATATACCTCACTTTGGAATGAGGAGATTTCTCTTGCCAGTCTTCATTCCCAACAGCCCTATCAAGTCGACATCTAACTGTCGTCCTCCCTGCTCTATTTCCAACCCACGATAACATGTTCCCAGTACAAGGAAACTCTAGCATACCACAATCACTTAACATCTGTCGAAAAGGCAGAAATGAGCTATCAGGGCGTTGTCTGCGTCCTTCCTTTTCTGCATGACAAGTAATTTCATTAAAATCTCCTATCATGAACCAAGGTCCATTTCTTGATGTTGAGAAGCGCGTAAGACGCTCCCATACTAAATCCCGTCTTTCTATAACAGGGTCCCCATAAACAAATGTCATGTAGACTTTTATTCCATCAATGACTGCCTCAATGTCAATCATTCGGTTATTTGAAAAAAGAACATTAACTTGAAACTCATCCATAAAAAATAAATCTAAACCTCCGCTAAGTCCAACTGGCTCAACGGTAAAAACATGATCAAATCCTAAGTCGGCCTGAATGTCTTGCAACAGCAGCCTCCTATTCTTCGTCTCAGATAGAAACACAAGTGCTGGGCGGTGTTTCTGACACATCTCCGTAAGGCGTCGAACTGTGAGGTCGCTTCCAATCCCTCGACAGTTCCAACTGATTGTCCTCATTGATCATATTTTGATGAGGTTTTGGACCTCATCAAGCCATCCTTTGTGTGTTTATTGGACTGTTTCTTCTTTGTCATAGAATGCTCTCTAGCCTCGGCATCATAAGGATGTTCCATAGACGAGGAAGCATCCCGTAGAGCTAATGGTCGTCTTCCTCGGTCTTCCTTGTTCCCACCGCGGTCATATCTCCTGCTTCCAGCACCTCTTCGGTCGTGCGTCAAGCTTCCATCCCTGCCATGATTACGGTCACTCCTTGCATGAGTATACCGTGAGATGTCATGCCTCCTCAGCTTCTCCGGAATTACAGGTTGTGTAACTACTTCATTATCCTTGTCACAGCGTTCCTGCTCCATTTCCATGAGCTCCTCTCCAAGCATATCATCCAAATCCTCAGCATCTGCATCTAAATCCACCTGATTATTGATTCCCATGTCCTTCAAAGCTCCAATGATCATAGCATCTTTTGGAGGACTCAAAGATGTCTCAGATTCCGAGGGGAATGTGAGCGATCTTGCTGAACTCTTGGAGCGAATTGTAACATTGGCATGAGAGGGTGTTACAATCTTACTGGCTAACTTCTTAGTAGACACCTGTGAGCCCTCCAAAATGTCCTCTTGTTGATGTAGAGCTGCTCCAGAATTGTTCCTATGTGGATTACTAAACTCCTTGAGCTTATAACCCTTGCCATCACGAGTAGTAGGCACATCAGAGCTCTGGAATTTTTCCTTGTCT